TGGCAGGAAAGGGAATCGATACAGGTAAGATGGGTGAAACCTCCATTTCAAACAATTAAGGTTAATTGTGATGGGCCCTGGTGTAAACACACGAGAATGGGTGGTTTTGGATGGGTGGCTAGAGACTTTGCAGGAATTTTTCAAGGGGTCGGTGGCAGTGGCAAAGCCACGTGAGGGCGAGGAGTGGCGGCCGCCACTCCCCTCGCCGGAAAACAAGTCAAGGAGCGGTGGTTTCGCCCCTCTGGTCCCGTCGAAAATGCTTGTTGGTGCGGTGGTTCCGTCTGTGTTCATCTGGATCTGGGTTTGTTGCTGGTACGCAGCTCTGCTGCGTTTGGTTTTATATTTTTCTCAAAAGCCAGGCCAAACGACACCGTTTAGTCCTAGTTAAAAAAAATTCCTTTAATGCAACAACATCGTTTAGTTATAGAATTGAAAAATAAAATTAATCAGATGGCAGCAAAACAGATCCCAGCAAGCAGCCTTATTCCCCTGCTACCAGACATTAAGGCTTCAACTTCAAGCTTTTAAGCCATCCAAGCCGCAAGCAGCCAGCCTCCAGCCGCCATTCTTGGCCCCCTTTCTCTTAGATGAAGTTTTTAATTTCCAAATTTATGTTAGCCTTAACCCTAATTGCTTATTTAATTTGAAATTTTGTTTATTTGACGTAGAATCATAGAGTAATTAATTATTGAATATGAATATGAAATCTTATAATTATTGATGAATAAACTTGTTATTTAAAGTAAAAATTGAATTCTTGATTATTCTCATTGATATTGATTAATTGAATTGAATTTTGTTTAATGAATAATTTATATGATATTGGTATTGATTAAGAATGTAAGACTTTTTTTCCATAGTATACAATTACATAATGAAATGATACTATAAGAAACAATGCTTAAACCCTCCTCCAAATATTCCAAGTGGTCATCCTTTAAATATTTCAGGTAGTCCTCTTCGACTATTCCGGGTGGTTCCCAACAAAGTGAGGACACTGAGTTGGATGAAATATTGGCTAATATTTTTTAACCTTGCACTCTTTTAAGTTCGCCCCAACCCGCCACTAGTGCTATGGTCTAGTGGTATTTCTCTTCACTTGTAAGTGAGAGGACTTAGGTTCGATTCTCGCCAAAGTCAAATTTGAACCACATTATTGCTAGTTCATTGTCAGGCTTAGCTCATTCCCCTACCCCCTTAGTGTAGATAATATCGTTTGTTCGGAAAAAAAAAATAATTCGCCCCTCCCCCCGACAATTCCTGACTTCGCCAGTGGTCGGTGGTGGGGGTGGTGTGTGGTGTGACTCTAGTCTAATGGCGGAAGCGGAAGTGATAAGGGGTGTGATATCTACACACCCCAAATTTTTTTCATAAAAGTTTATTTTTTTTTTCATTGAAGATGGATGAAAATTCAAAGGTCAAAAAACATGATTGTTGGGTATCTACATGGGGTCCATTTGGCATCACGTTTATTGCGAATTTCTTTCTTATTTTATTTTCAATGATTGTGTCAAGCATGTTTGAATTTTTCATGAATCACTGGAGACACTATTGTTTTTCTTTTGTTTTTTCTTCATTTGATTTTTTAGTCCAATTAGATTGAATTTATGACACCACATAATTGACAAATTCAGTCTAATTGGGCTTAGAAATCAAATGAAGAAAAAACAAAAGAAACAATAGCGCCTCCAGTTATTCATGAAAAATTCAAACATGCTTGATACAATCATTGAAAATAACATAAGAAAGAAATTTGCAATAAACGTGATGCCAAATGGACCCCATGTAGATACCTAACAATCATGTTTTTTGACCTTTGAATTTTCATCCATCTTCAATTAAAAAAAAGGAATGGAAAAAATTTAGGCTAAGTTTATTTTAACCAAAAATTATGCTATAATTTTATTAAATAAAAAATAATTAAATTTTAATGAAAAATATTTAAATTTTAATAAAAATGATAGAAATTTTTTTTAAATAAAAATGACACAATTTAAAAATAAATAAATAAATACCTGACGCACGGTACCTATACATTGTTTATGAAACTGAAAATTATTTATGAAATTGAACACTATTTATGAAACTGCACTATTTATAAAATTGAACGGTACTATACTATTTATTGATCCAATTTCATAAATAGAGCCTAATTTTTTGTCCACTTTCATAAATAGTGTCTAGTTCTTGGTCATGTTTCATATATATTGTCTAGTTATTGAATCCATTTTCATAAATAATGTATAGTAATTGATACAATTTTATAAATAGTGTTTCTTTCTTGGTCCAGTTTCATAAATAATGTCTAGTTATTGATCCACTTTCATAAATAGTGCCTAATTTTTTATCATGTTTCATAAATATTGTTTAGTTCTTACTCTAGTTTCATAAATAGTTTCCACCTATTGGTTTAGTTTTAGAAATAATGCCTAATTCTTGTTTTTGTTTCATAAATAGTGTCTACTTATTGGTCCAGTTTCATAAATAATGTCTACTTATTGATTTAGTTTCATGAATAGTGTCTACTTATTGATGAAGTTTTATAAATAGTGTTTCATTATTGGTTCTGTTTCATAAGGTTTGAAACTTGGACCCTTTTTGGTCCTGTAAATGCAACCATTGCGCCCAAAACAATGAACCCAGAAGTGACTATTTAGATCAAAACCTTAAGAAGATTATATTCTCAGTAATTATATTTAAAACGTTGTTTTCAATTACCAAATTAAAATTTCATCACATTTTTACATACCTACAATAATAAATCTAGCTCTCCATCCAATTTCTTGAGCTTGGGTGTCACCTTGGAGAAATTTTTCCTTGTGCCCGTAGCACATATAGTATACCATGTGTTATTATGTAAGTGGTGAAATTTTTTATTTTTTATGTTATTAATTTTTTAACAAAAGAATCTCACAACTTGTATAGAGTGTACCACCCCAAGTTCTAGGCACATTGAAAAGTTTCTCGTCATCATAACTACTATTGGGAACAACACCACAAAAATAAAATTGGATAATGTAATTCAATTTGAAGTATTTTTCTTATTCTAAAAAGAAAAAAAAATCCATTAATATAGCTGACAATGGGTAGTTGACAATGGGAGAAAAATGTGGGAGAAAAATGTGGAGTGTGGAAGGGAAGCGGGTACGTGCCCATCGCAAGTTGGGTTTTTTTTATATATAATTTTTAAATTATTCTTTTGTCCTTATTATTAAATAAAATTAGCAGGTGATTTTTTATTAAAATGTAAAGATTTGATATCATTTTCATTAGTTTAATATATATATATATATATATATATATATATACAGGGAGCTTAAGGGGAGGGATCCCTATTTTTTCAAAAAAAATGGGGACACGCTCCCCACCGTTAGATTGACTTTAATGAAATTGTGTGGTTGAGATTAAAATACAGGCCATAGAATCTCAACCACAGGATTTCATTTAATTCAAATCCAACGGTGGGGAGCGTGTCCCCATCTTTTTGAAAAAATGGGGATCCCTCCCCTTAAGCAATTCCTATATATATATATATACAGATTGCTTAAGGGAAGGGATCCCCATTTTTTTGAAAAAAATGGGGATTAGATGTGGGGCCCACTCCACATCGAATTTCAACGATCCGAACCGTCTATTTTGTTAGTCTCGATTCATAGATCATCCTTGCAAAAATTCAATTCAATCCGAAACCGTTTGCCTATTTAATTATCAAGATCAAATTTCATTTTTTCTTATATAACAAAGTATTCGTTCATTTCCTTGAACCCAATTAGATGTCTTAAACATTTCCGATTTAGCTAATATTTTGCAAGGATGATCTATGAATCGAGACTAACAAAATAGACGGTTCGGATCGTTGAAATTCGATGTGGAGTGGGCCCCACACCTAATCCCCATTTTTTTCAAAAAATGAGGATCCCTTCCCTTAAGCAATCTGTATATATATATATATATATATATATATATATATATATATATATATATATATATATATATATATATATATATATCTTGTAGCTCAATTAATTAAGAACATTTATTGATGCATCAATGATTTAAGTTTGATTTCGTTCTCCCAATCAATTGTATCATAATATAAAAAAAGGAACTTGTTAAGATAAGTTGTATCTTACTTGAGAAATTCACTCTGGGACTTTACATTTTTCAGCATGAGATGTGGTATTATTTCTAAGTCTAACACGCGATAAGTTTTTACTAGGAAGATGTGAAAGCATGTGTGGCAGTTAGACCTAAGTTACAGTCCGTGCATTCCCAAGCTCAAGCTGCCAAGTCTCGTGGTAGAAGATTGCATACTTCTTTGTTCTCTCTCGATAACTGATATTCAATCTGTTTATGTTAAAATCTACTATGGTTTAGTGGTATTCATATTTATTTGTAATTGAGAGGTCTTAGGTTCTATTCTTGCCAAAGACGAATTTGAACCATATTATTACTAGCTCATTGTGAGACTAAGCCCACCCCTCTCCAATAATATCTCCTGGAAGTTCAAGGAGCTGACTACGACCGCTCGTGTCAAGGAAAAGTCCATTAAAGATAGGATTAATTACTAAATCCTATTTTTAATACATTCTCAAGTGAAGACAAACTCTATCAAGTAAGTAATCTCAATCACATTTATTTTGAGATATCTTCACATTATTCTAAAATATTATTTACACAATATCTCGGAAATATTCTCATCAAATCCTACCCTAAAGGCTGGCTATACTCCTTATAAAGATCTATTTCTCCACCAAAAACTGGTGAGGCTTTTCTACAAAGAAAACCCTTAACACTCACTCTTTTTAGAGAGAGTTGATTGTTTTGCATGTACATTTTGATCAAGACTGAAGTCAGCAGAAATTTCCGTCGACAGCAATCACTACAGGAGATGAACCACTTGCGTACTGTCACAGGCACTCCATTAACTTACTAGACTTTTCTACGTGAAAACGACTTCTTTGATTTTGTGCTAACATTTCTTCTCGAATATCGGATGTAGACTATAGTCGAAGACTTCATACATGTGAAGTAACACCATTTGAGGAAGGATATGTGAAAACTAAACAAAATGTTTGGCAGAGAAACAAGAAAAATAGCCATGCTTTTGAAGCTTGTAATACTCACACTAGTAACCCTAGCAGCAGCTGAAGATCTTAACTTCACCTTCAATGGCTTCCAGTCTGCCAATCTTTACCTCGACGGCATAGCGGAAGTCACACCAAATGGCCTTTTGAGGCTTACAAACGAGACTAAGCAGAACCAAGGCCATGGATTTTATCCCAACTCCATAACCTTCAAGAACTCATCCAACGGCACGGTTTTCTCCTTCTCAACAACTTTTGTGTTCGCCATCAGATCAGAATATGCAGATTTGAGCGGTCATGGAATCGCTTTCGTGGTTGCTCCAACGCAAGGCCTTCCCGGCGCTCTTCCAAGCCAATACCTCGGCCTTTTCAACGAGTCCAACACTGGAAATGATACCAATCATGTTTTTGCCGTGGAGCTCGACACCATCCAGGGCAAGGAATTCAATGACATCAATGACAACCATGTTGGGATTGATATCAACGGCTTGCACTCTAAGAAAGCTGCGTCAGCTGCATACTATGATTCAAATAATGGCAGGTTTCGGAATTTAACTCTCATCAGCGGTCAACCGATGAAAGTTTGGGTGGAATATGATGGCGCCAAGAAGCAAATCGATGTCACTTTGGCTCCAATCAATGTTGATAAACCCTACACTCCACTTTTGTCTTTGAATCTCGATCTTTCGCTGATACTCAACGAAACAATGCATGTCGGCTTCTCTTCATCCACCGGCTCAGTCCTCACATCTCATTATGTGTTGGGTTGGAGCTTCAAAATCAATGGCCAGGCTCAAGAACTTCTTGTGTCAAAACTTCCTAAGTTGCCGCAAATAAGAGGTAAAAAGAGGTTGAAACTTTTGACAATTGGCGTGCCTATTTTATCTGTGAGTTTGATTTTTCTGGCAGTTTACGGTTTAATTTACGTCATAAGAAGGAAGGGGATGTTTGCAGAATTGCTCGAAGATTGGGAGCTTGAGTATGGCCCTCAAAGGTTTAAGTACAAAGAGTTGTACATTGCAACAAAAGGGTTTAAAGAAAAGGAGCTTTTGGGAAGTGGGGGTTTTGGTAAAGTGTATAGAGGCATATTACCCACCACAAAAACTGAGATTGCTGTGAAGAGAGTCTCACATGAGTCAAGGCAGGGGATGAAGGAGTTTGTGGCGGAAATTGTGAGCATTGGCCGCCTTCGCCATCGGAATTTAGTCCCACTCTTGGGATACTGCAGAAGAAAAGGGGAGCTGCTTTTGGTGTATGACTACATGCCTAATGGAAGCTTGGACAAGTACCTCCATGACCAACCGGCGGTCACTCTCAATTGGAGCCAGAGGTTTAGAGTTATCCGAGGCGTTGCTTTGGGGTTGTTCTATCTTCATGAAGGATGGGAACAAGTTGTGATTCACAGAGATGTTAAGGCCAGCAATGTGTTGTTAGATGGTGAATTGAATGCAAGGCTAGGGGATTTTGGGCTTTCAAGACTATATGACCATGGAACAGACCCTCAAACTACTCATGTAGTTGGAACACTCGGGTATTTAGCTCCGGAACATACAAGAACAGGGCGGGCCACAGCGAGCACCGATGTGTTTGCTTTTGGGGCATTTTTGCTCGAAGTTGCTTGTGGAAGAAGGCCGATAGAAGCGCAAGGTCCTGAGCAGGATTTGATCTTGGTGGATTGGGTTTTTTCTTGTTGGAACAGAAGTAATATTCTCGAGGCAAAGGATAAAAACATTGGGACGGATTTGTAACCGAGGAGGTGGAGTTGGTATTGAAGCTAGGGTTGCTGTGCTCTCACCCGGAGCCTTCGGCTAGGCCGAGCATGCGACGAGTCGTGCAGTATTTGGAGGCGGACATTGCTTTGCCAGAGCTCTCAGTTCTTGGGCTTTCTTCAAGTGGATTGACTTTTGCTTACCCTGAAGGTTTTGATGATTTTGCTATGTTATATTCTTCTTCTGTGGCCAAGGGGCTTTCATCTTCATCGTACGCTGCAGAGTCCGCACTCCTCTCAGGTGGTCGCTGAATAAAAAGGAACTACGCGTTTTGGATACAGAAAAAAATTACTCGTGTATGTATTCTGTTTCGAGAGTAACGTTACGTCTAGTATACTGGAATCCAATTCATAGCCATAGATATATATATACTGCAACATCTATATAGCCATAGACAAAATCTGTGAAGTCTGATATAAACAAGGTAGATTACATTCCTACTATCACGACATTTTATTTCTTAATTCTAGTCCGCAATATCATCATGAGAATTACATGACAAGGTGTTTGTTTCCGTTATCAAGTGATTTATGTTCTTATGCTTAGGTGCTGATTTGAAACTTGTAATCTTTAACATTTTTAGAAAAAGGTATGAAAATAGGAAGAGATTCTACGGATCTCTTCCCCTAAGGCCACTGGATCAAATGATCCGGGCTTTTGAAATTTCATACAACGATTTATCTGTTTTGATCCCTTAAAAGCTATAATAATTTTTTACCGTTGGATAAAATTTCAACGATCCAAATCACTTGATTCAGTAACATTGGTGGAATAGATCCGGAGAGGATCTCTTTCCATGACAATATGCACAATTAGAAATTGTCAGAAATTTTAAATAAAAAACAAAAATAGTGAATGCTAAAACGACAACAAGTGGTAATAAACCACAATTTGATGGCACTTTATTATACGTTTAGGGTGCGTTTGTTATATTGGATTATTTCGAACTGAACTAATTTCAAGTACTAAGTTGAACTGGTTAAAATAGATTAAGTTTGACTAATTTAGCTAAACGTTTAGTGTCATGTCCAACTAAAAAGCAAGATTACTAACAAACTCTAAAATTATATTATTTAATCTGTATCCATTAATATTTTATTATTAATTCTACGTTTTTTTTCTTTGTTTCTAGAACCTCCTCTCTCGAGAAACCTCAGTCCTCTCTGCCTGCATCAACCATGCTTTTGAAAGCTCTCCAATTTAGACACACAATTGCCGTTTCAGACACTCAAAATTTGTTTCCTTCATCAATCATGCTTTCATGGAATTCCCATTTGCAGAAAAATCACTTTCAAAATCCCCAATTCCTACTAATTGCCATTTCATTTTCTTCCGGGTTCTCTCTTAATTTTCTCACCAACCAAACACTTTTCAAAATCCCAGTTCCTACTAATTGCTCACATTATCTGTCGCACCAGATTTAGATCACAGTTTGTTGAATTCTCGCGACGGAATGCGATTGGTGTGGGAAAATCAGCAGAAGCGGAAGACCTACAAGTGAGGGATTTAGTAGATGCGAGTCACCCTTTATCACATTAAACTTAGTCTGTAATAAACACATGCCTACACTAATATCTAATTCAATCCGTTAAACTTAATGAGACCAAACAAACGTGCTCTTAATTACCTTCAAATTCAAATTTTAATTAAAAATTTATAAATATTTATGTTGGTACATATTTTCTAATAATATACATAATTTTTTGTTTTTTTTTTGGGATAGCTAAGTTAGCTAAAAATGTGTGAATCCCTTTCCGGTCAAGTTTAAATTTTGTCCTCAACGGTTAGCGCATTGGTATTCTACCCATATTTTTTGAGTTTGAATCTCCCCTTCTCTTGTAAGTTTTGAACCATCTCTCTTTTCATCATAATAATAATAAATTAAAAAAAAAAGGTTTGAATCTCCCTCCCTATCATTTAGATTAATTTAATTAGTGTCCACCACCACTTGGATAAAATAATGTCCACACATAGCAACTCAATGGCCAAGATTAAAGCATATAAAAAGATTCGCTAGTCAAGTAGATTGGAATCAAGGTCTAAAATATCGATGATATCGGAAATATCGATAGTCCAAAAACACGGAAATTTCGATGGAAATATCGGGATATTATCGATATCGATAAAAATTGAATAAAAACCACGAAAATTGTAAGAAAAACTTGAAAATTTTTATTGAAACTTTGCAAAATGTTTATTTAGTCAATTATCTATTAGTTTATCACAAAAAAATTAGAAGGAAATGCATTGCATGATGGATTTAACTGATTTAAGTTGATTATATAGCGAGCTGGCAAACAATGTTAGTGTAGAAAATATGTAGTAATTAATGAAAGAAGTTTAAACACACCATAATCATTTATATATAATGAATTAGTACAATATTTTACACTTTATAGAAATTTATCCTAGATAATAAATATTAGCTTGCAAGCCTTGCAGACATCTTAACGACCATATAAATATTAAAGGCCGAATATGTAATCACAAACACATCTGTAGCGAGTTGGATAAGGGCCAGGTGCGTGGTTGACAAAGGGAGGGGTTCAAATCGTCCTCTAATGGCCGATAATATCGATATTTTAGACCTTGGTTTCAACTAATGGTTCGAAAATTTAAGGCAAAACCCTTGATATCACTGACAATTTGGTTAACATGCCCCAAATATTGTGAAAACATAATTGCAAGCGAGGCCCAAAATATTGCACAGAAGGGCCCAAAAAAGCAAGGAAGGAAACGTCGGCCTCATCCTCTATTGACTTCTCTAAGGCACAGACGCGAAACGCGTGTATCGAAGTCCAAAAATGCACAAAAGCTCAGATCTTTCTTCCTCCGATCAGAAAACCAAAACCCTAGAAAATCAAATTCCCCCAAAAAAATCCCCAAATTCCGCCATGGGAAACACCGAGAAGCTGATGAACCAGATCATGGAGCTCAAATTCACCTCCAAGTCGCGCCAGCGCCAGTCCAGGAAGTGCTATAAGGAGGAAAAAGCAGAGAAGCTCAAGATCAAGAAGGCAATGGAGAAGGGAAACGTCGACAGTGCCCAGATTTACGTCGAGAACGCGATCCGGAAACGCATTGAGCAGATGAACTACCTTTGCCTCGCCTAGTGGCTTGACGCCATGGTGGCGCGGCTTGACACCCAGGCCAACATGTTCACCATCAACAAGTCAATGGGCAATATCGTCAAATCGCTCAAGTCGTCGCTGGCCACTGGAAACCTTCAGAAGATGTCGGAGACCATGGACTCGTTCGAGAAGTAGTTTGTGAACATAGAGGTCCAGGCCGAGTTCATGGAGACCACCATGGCTGGCTCCACCTCGCTTTCGACACCGGAAGGTGAGGTCAATAGCTTGATGCAACAGGTTGTGGATGATTTGGGTTTCATCTCGCGATATTATCAATATTATTGATAATATCGCGATATATTGTCCAAGTAATGCATTAAAATGTTGAAAATATCGTCTCTGATATTTTCGCGATAATATCGACAAAATATCGATATATTGACGATAATTAAGTGGATAAATGTGAAAATATCGTTTTCTAAAAAAAACGATATTATCGGCGAAATATTGCCGATAATATCAATATTTTAGACCTTGATTAGAACAATATGTTTTTCCTTCTACATTCAAGTTCCAATCACCTCCCGTAGTTTAGTTGATCTTGTATAAAAATAAAATAGAAAAAGTATAAGAAAGAATTTTATGAAATGGGCTTTGCCACCTTTAACAATCACAATTAAATTGGACTTTTTACATGAAGTTTTGCTTGGCCCAAAGTCTCAGTGCTGGCTGTTCAATTGTCCATGGCAGAGAGCTCAGCAACTCCTCAAGTTCTGAACTTTCAGATACTTGACCACCGCCCAATGTCACAGTAAAAGAGGTTCCGCCAATTCCTAGGGTTAGGGTTTTGGTTGAAACTCCATTATTTGATACATGTAGTAGAAGTAGAAATAAAAAATAGACTCTAGCTTTTCTGCGTTTTTGCTTCCAACTATTCTGCTCCATCGGCACAAATTCCTCTGAAAACTATAATTTCGACATGTATATGTGCGTCACTGTGAACTGTGAAGTGTGAAGATTCAAATTAATTGTCGTTACGACTGGCATGCAGGGGTCTCTCTCCTCCCGTATGCTTCCTTTTACACTTTCCTAATAATATCTTTGTGAAATTTTAATCTATATGACTACATCGACTAGAACTTGGTAGAACTAATAAGGAGCTGTTTGCTTACCATTTCGTGTTTAGTTTTTTTTTCATTTTTTTTTCGAAAATTCGTTTGGTAACTACTTTAACCCAAAAAATGAAAACTCAAAACCAAAAATGAAAACTACATTCTTAAGTTTTCAAACGAAAACTGAAAAAACGAAAGTAGTTACCAAACTACTTTTAAGTTTTCAAAAAATTGAAAACTAAAATTGAAAAACTGAAAACGAATGATTATCTAACTGCCTCTAAGTTTATGAAATTTGCAATCTGCATGGAAATTTTTTTACTTGTTTACTTATGTCTTGTAGTCTTGTAGATAATCAAATAGAAAGAACAGAAAATTGTTGAAATTTCAGTATATTTCTATATGAAGAAATTTGAAGAAGAGAATTTTACATAACTAAACATGAAGCAAATATAGTACTCTCACTTTAACCGGGCCATGGAATTGATCATGGCCACTTGCTCACTGATAATTTGATCATAGTTTAGGGAGGTGGATTGTCTGCCCTCCCATTTCCATACTCTTTCCATCCCTTCCTGTTTTGTGTGGTCACGATTAAGCCACGTCAACATTTTATTTTCCTATTACTTTTTGTTTTATTATTTTTATAAAAAAGTCAATATAAAATATTGACGTGACTGATGCGAAATATATAAGCACACAAATTAAACCCTCTTTTTATCAATTGTAGTATGTAAGTAGGGATTGTTCTAGGCCGGGGATTAGGAGGGATTGCTAAATCACTTGGAAACTGACTTGAAAACGTGAAAACAAAGTTTAAAACACTAACTAGACTCAAAGAATGCAAAACTATACTTTAAAACACTAAAACAAACCAAAAGACTCAAAACATCCCCTAAACACTCAAAACTACCTTAAAAACACAATCTGGGCAATTTTGGGACTCTCACACAAACTTGGACAAATTTTGGTATTCTAATGAACTAAAACACTTAAAAACATAATCTAAGACAAGTTCTAATTAATATGACTCAAAGAAATAAGATGGGGTTGATTTTTGACGAAAATAATTAAATTAAGACAAGAACAGAGTAAACAAATTCTTAGACAAATTTGGGTGAATCAAAACACTCTAACACACAACCAAAACAGAAATTAAACACTTTGAAACAATAAAGTAAAAGGGGGATTTTGGTTTTAATGAATTTGAAAAC